GTTTCGTGAAACTCCTTCTCGTAATGGAATGCTCACTATTTCACTGGTTTCTCTTATTTATCATCAACCATCGAAATAAGACGAAAATGTACTTCAGCTCTAAAACCTAATATGAATAGCTGTGTTGTAAATCACAAACTGTGTCTGCATTTGGATCTCTGGTCGTAGTTGATTGAACATGGGGGGCATTGGCCCGGTACTCACGTCACCGAAGGACGTGTGTTCGAATCCCGCCACCACCACCACCTGAATTTCCCCATTTGATTGTTGAATAGCAGCCATTTGGTTGACTGCTTCCCGCTTCCTGAAAATTGTATCATTGTGTATTGGATGAAAATAAATAAAAACGAAAAAGAAAAAAGAGTGGAACCTATATCTCACAGGTCACTTTTGACTGTTCAATAGCTAGAGGTGCAGCTCCGACCAGTGATACTGTGGATGACACTCTTTCCTGCATCTTTTCAGGATACTTCCTCCATGAAACCGACTTAGCCTCACGTAGGAGAAGGTCGTCTAAAAGTGAATCCATGACTGGAGAGTCACCAGGTGGCTTGATTAAGCATCATACACTGAAGAGTTCGTGTTTCTCCTCGCCTCCAGAAATCATTTGATCTAACTGCTTCCGTAATATTAGAGCCTCATATCTTTCAGTTCTGTACCATAAACAACCACCGAAGTCAAAACACTGTTGTGTTAAGGCACCGGTTGTCTGAGATGATCAGGAACTAAAAGATGACATTAGAATCAACAACAAGTGTGTTCCTTTTCGGTTTTTGGTCATTATTTTCTTTTACCGTACCCATTTATAGCTCAATTATTTCCGTATCATCGATATGCGCCATCTTTCCGTTTCAGGACATTCTCGGTGATCCGATTCACCGAACCCTCGTCAGCCGCTGGCGCAATCAGTCATGTTCCGCGTCTCCGACTCATGATCTCTATGCGTGTCCGTTCACTTGCTCCAAACCAAACAGACCAAGAAGATCATACTACGAACCAGTCAAACCCAGCGGACCAGTGGGTAGATGTGGTACGCGAAGCCGAATGTCGTCTCTCGGAGGAAGAAAACAGTGCCTCGTCCTCAACCACTGACCTGACATCGGGTACCAGCAATACCCATGCAAAACAGACACGTGTTGTTTCTACCGACGGTATATTGTCTTTGAGCCTTGAGCAAAATGTGATCCAAGATCTGCTTCGTCTTCCGGAAGATTTCCAGTTTCCTGCTGTTGTCTCAGCCAATATACTGCGTTACGATCCTCTTGGTTGGCAGGAACATGGCATGACGCTGATCGAGACAGATACGGACGACTGATCCATTTGTGGACAACTTTGACCAAAGTCTTTCCCCCTACATCAGCACATCGGTCAATTTGATTGATTTGGTGCATGGAGGACCTCGTTTTGTGATTGTTAGTCCCCACCTGGAACTCCTCAACACTGCCATGATCGATCGCAAATCTGTTCTCTCTCTCTCCTTTCAAACTACTTGCTTTCCACACACACACACACAGTTACTTTGTGGCTCAACAACCCAGTATTCTGTTCCATTTCCATATCCTTATTCTCGTATTTTCAGTCTATGTCTACGTATCCGTGCGTGTATTTTGGTGCTTCAGCTAGTTTTCTTATTATTTTTCTTTCAGTCACTTATGGCTTATTTTTCTCATTGGCTAATTCCCACACGCGGGCAACTAAATAAGCAAATAAGTATGTATATATGTAAGTAAACCCTTTTGTTTAATGTGGTGCAATTTTCTAGATTATTGCATTTGTCCTTTCGATCGACTCGGAAGTCAGTTGCGGGACGATTGATCCAATGGAATACATTCTCTCGTCCTCACACATACAAACCGTATTGATTGATCCACGAGCCCTCTTCGGCCGAAGATTGTATTCTATTCTGTTACTATCATTATTACCAATATGAGTCCTCAGGCTTTTGTGATACACTAGTTGTGAATAATATGCCTCAACCGACGACAGCACCAACAAACCACACAGTGCTTCGTTTTTTTGAATTCCCGCCTTCGCGCGATTTACACAAGTACACACAAACTGGAACAAGCAACCAGACGAATGTTGAAACAAATGCACACACACACAACCACATCACTGACAATCGCTCCTCTCGCCGCAGATTGTGCGATTGGACTCGATTGTGCGTAACTTTTATTTTTCAAGGTCATCCGACTTGTACATATAACCGTTGATGCAAAGGGGCAGATTGTACTGCTCGGAATAGCATAAAATTATTGTTATCCAATTGATCTGTTTTTTTCTCGCTTTGATTTTAGACCCCTTCGTTTAGCATCAGAAGTTGCATTCCAGTTCGGATATGGGGAAACGAGGGTACCGAATTGTGAGATTCACGATCTGGTGCTATTCTTACTCCTACGTGGTCGTGAACGGAACAGGTTTTTCGTGTTGCGGTCATCTGGCTTTCTATTTGGTTGATCATTTACTCATACTAACCAGCACTCGTGTGACTGGTATATACGTTATCTGCGCTCTGTCTCTCATTTCTTCCTGCTCCTCCCGTTCTTGAGACGCTACGATCGCTCGTTTAGTAATGCACAATGAATTGCAGTGGGTTGCCCATTGCATAGAATCAGGAGTATATTTCGACGTAGTCTCTGTTCTCTAAGTTTGTCGCGATACGTTTTATATTTAGACTATTCTTTTCTCTCATACTCATTACTACCTTAAGTGAAAGTGCGCTTTTGGTAGCATCTATCTCTGCTAGAGATCTTCAGTGAGCATAGTTATATGGATCACTTTGACCGGAATTAACGTAATTAAAGTCATCGGACTACACTAAGTGTTGTGCCTGAACTGGCGGTACCCATACTTCTGCTCGCTTATCTTTCACGACATATAGTTTGCTCTTGATAGCATCCTCTGTGTGTCTAACCGCTTATCGGTAGACGGCAATCGGACTGGAACTACAAGAATGCAGTGATAATGGCTGTGTTGCATATGACCTCAACAAGGGTTGTGCTGTTCCTACCTGGACTGGTAATTTTTTCCGTAGAGCTATGAGCTGGTTAAAAAAAGAGAACCTGTGTGTGACTTGAATGCATTTGCGGGTTACTTTTTGGCTGAAGGTAAAGCTTCGCACGACGAATAGTGAAACTTCAGTGACACAATAGCAGTTCGGCCAGTGCTGCTCTACGGTGCATGGACCTGGCCATTACGGGAACAGGATAAAAATACATTTAGATAGTATGAAACCATAACCAGGATACTCGGTCACATAGGTCCCGTTAGGATCCCTGGATGGTGACTTTGAGACCATGGTCACCGGGGGTTAGAGACACTGAATGATATGGCTGAGTGTCGCAAACATGCTCATGCATCTACTTATTAATTTTGCAAGCTCACTCCAGATGAATTCTCTGTCTTCCGCTTGAATTTGCTCTGAACATTTCAATCTTCTTTCTACTCTTTTATTCAAATGGGTAGGTAAAAGACAGAAACCAAAACCGGTGCATGAAAGTGCATGGTTAATGGTTGTAAAAAGCTGAAACTGGCACAGACCGCCTGTGCCATTCGTGGTGTTCGCGCTTCACCCAGGTCCACACGACTGTTTGTACGTGTTAACCCCTTAGCCATTCCTGGTTAAACGATATTTGATTGCTTCCGCTGCTATAATGAATCGCAGATGTGTTTCTCCGCGCGCAGCGTGTGACTATTATGATCACATCGATACCCATTTTTCGGTACATCTAGTTCGAAAAACTGAACAGCCTTTCCCATTGGGTTGAATGCCATGGGTGATCACTTTTGGTACATGATCGAACATGTTTTGAGCTTCCGGTCGCCCCCCCCCCCGGGTGCACCTTCTAATCA